GTGCTCCTCTCTTACAAAGGTGCCGTGAAGCATCATGTTCTGGTCAAGCTTCCCAGCTACACTGAAGAGATCAACCCCATGGGGGCTCAGTCCTATAGTGACAGCTCCAGCTGCAGGCACAGCCAACCCTCACTGTTCATGCCAGTGTCCTCATCACATGTGCATGTGTGAGGGGGACTGACAGTCATCCGAGCACAGCCTGTCTAGAATCCTATCTTGGATGTGAACCAACATGGATCAGCACGTCTTTAAGGCTCTCCCCCTTCTGAGTACTTACTTAGCATGCTTGTCCATTTTACTACGTTCTCTGCTCTTATATGTGATATGAGGGCCAATGGGAAAAATGTACTCAAAGATGCTTTAAATGAGTCAGAATGGCCTGCAAAATCACATACACACGTGCACAGATGTGCACACATGCACACACACACACACACACATACGCATGACAGGTATACATGTTGTGACAGGAGTACTCAAAATGCCTAGGCATCCTTTCACCTGCCTAATAGAAGAAAAATAAACCTCTCTCTTATGCTTTTTTTTTTTTTTTAACTGACTGTAAGGCTTAGAAGATTTCTAATTGGAAAAAAAAAAGTTAGTGTTGATATAGCTGATAAAAGTGACCTTCTGCCAGTGTTTTTCTAATAGTCCACACAGGAGGAGTCTGGAGGGCAGGTGTCTGTTCTGGGTGACATTTATCCCTTGGAGCCTTTCCACTTGGCAGGTGCCAGAAAATTGACAGAAAAGAATCTTAAACTGGTTATGAAGTCATCCCTTTCTTTTCTTTTTATAAATTCCCAGAAAGGAGCAGTTGATGAACTAAAAAATACTCTGGGAGGATCTAGTCTTTCTAATGATGGTGGTAGGCTCTGGGGCTCTGGAACTCCAGGGGTGACAGGACAGATGTGCTCCTGTCCTTACAGGAGTTAAGAGCCCTCTGGGAAGATGGACATTGAGCAGTAAATACAGGTGTGAGTGACGCACATCTCCAAGGAGGTGAGGCTGCCAAGGCCGGGGTCTGGCCTGGGCAAGGCCTCAGAGAGGCTTCCCTGGGGGAAGGATGTGGAAGCTGAGACTTGAGGGGGAAGCAGGAGGTGTCTGGGTGGGAGTGGGGAAGAGCTTCTTCCAGAAGGCGCAGTTGGACAGAAACAACACTGGGTGGGACAGAGGTGGCATGTTAGATGAACAGAAAGAAGATGAATGTGGCATGTGGTGAGGAGAGAGCCAAGTGGGAAGGAACCCGAGAGGCACTCAGGCACCAGCACCTGCAAAGCCTGGTGGAACAGCATGCTGTTTTGTACCCGATTCTAAGAAGCCTGGGTACTCATTAAAGACTTAAATCAGGGCAGCCACATGCTTGTCACTTGATGTTTATGTGGAACACATTGGCCATGAATCACCTGGGAGGCATCCAACAGAAGACTTTGGGAATGTAGTGGACTTGGAACTCTAGCATGGGGTGGAGGTTAGATACACATTTGGAAGCCTCAGGAAGAGACTGACTAAAGCTACGGGGGCCAGTCAATCACTTGGAAGAGAAGAGGCCTAGTCCTGTGACTTCGGTGCAGTTGTTACTGACAGAGAGCTGAGAGGGAGAAGTCAAATGGATAAGAGGAAAAGCAGAGAAGATGGCATTCTACAAGTCAAGAAAGGAATCTGTGGGTCAACTGTGCTGAATGCTGCTGAGAGTTATCTTGTTGAACCACCACCCCCCCCCAAACCTGACTCTTATTCTCTTGATTACAAGACTCACCACTGCCTCCAATAAACAATCTAAGTTCCTCTTGGAATTCCAGGGCTCTCACACAGTACTGCTAACACACCTCCTTTCCACACTCCTCTCCCATGATGTCTTCCAGACAAGGGAGTCTGAGGTCCCACCATGTGAATGGTGCTTGTGGCATTGTGGTTAGGTACCTGGAATTTGCTCTCTAGCATCCATTCTCTTGTCTGTCAGTGTTGGTTAGAGATCTACTCCCTCACACCTGCTGCAGTCTCAGAGCTCCAGGGGTCATCATCTGTAGCCCCTGGTGTGGAGCATGTGGCCAGGACAACAAGGATTAGTGCATCACCCTTCCAATTAGGGGTGGGGACAGGAAATGTGATTAAGTTGGTCTGATCAAAGTGAATCGCCTAGAAGTTCTGGGACAAATTACTTATGTTCTTTCTAGTGGTTCAGGGTTTGGAAAGACATGGCCCTAAGAGTGCCAGCAGTCATCTGGTGTCTATGAGAGGAAAGCGAGTCTGAGAATGAGATCAACCACCCACCAAAGCAAGTAGAGCTGAGAGACAGAGAACCTGGCTCTGATGATGATATTGTCAGAATGTGTTTTAGGCCAGGCCAGAAGCCAGGATGAAGCTGGGCTTTTGAGTTTGGGAATCAATGACTCTCTCCTTTTAATTTTCACTTAGGGTCAGGTTTTCTGTGATTTGCAACAAAATGAATCCATGAATTCTATATAACATGCACCTGCAGTTCTGTTCCTTAGAATGCTTTCCTTCCTCTCTGAAATATGTGACCATGACTCCTAAGCACACCCTTTACTGACTCTGCTTGGCAGGGTCACCACCTTCCTCAGAGCCTGGCATTGCAATGGGTCTACCATGGTCTCCACATCTGCTTCCCTCACTAGCCTCAGGACAGGGATCATGTGTTGTTCACCTTTTACATCCCTGATGCCTCACACAATATTAGTCCATAAGAGCTACTTATCAAATATTTTCTAAGTGACTCTCTGAGTGAATGAACAAGTGAATTATAAGCAGAGACTCAATATTAAGAGATAGGAAGATACTGAAGAAAAGAAAAAATAGTTCCTTAAATCGATGAAAAAAACAAGTATATCATCTTCAGTACTGGCCAAGTAAACTTCAAAATATCATTATTTTAATTATGGAAATGGTCTCTCAAAAAATGAAAAAAATAAATAAAGGATCTTCTTGCTCCCAGATGTAATAAACTCATTTAGCAGTGTTACATCAGAATAATTTCATGAAATCTGATATTTGAAGTGCATTAGGTCAGGTTGGCTGATTTTTTTCCATAATTATTTTAAATGTTTGCCATCTACAGAATTTCATTCCAACCCTAAACAGTCCATGGCATTTAATGAGCAGGCTCAGATGCTCAGGCCCAGGACTGGCTGCCAGCTTCAATGCTACAGTGGGTCATCATTAGATGTCTACGGAAGATATTCAGAGTAAGCCGGTGTTACCGTGGTAACAAGCACAGGAAAGAAAAGGGAGACTGTCATATATGAGATGAGGATTATGTACAGGAAACACTGACAAGCCACCAAGGAAACAGTACAGGGTCTCCTCAGTAATAGCCAAGCAACATCCACATTCAAAACAGTGAGCTGTCAAAAAAATGCAGTATGGAAATATATGGAGCCCATCAGTCCTGGTTCCCAACTAAGAAGAAAAGCAAGACTCACCACCTCCCATTATTTTATGACCCTTATGTGTCTACACATATAACAACTAGGAACCAGAACAGAAATCCACTGAAATATTCAGAACAGGCCATATGGAGCTCAGTGGGGCACATACTTAATGTATGGTCCTACTCAATCTGTATTTTGTGTTTGAAATGTTTATGACAATTCTAAAGGCAAACAAACAAACACACAATCAGAACTATATCAAATGAAAAAGATTCTTTAAAGCAAAGGAAAATATCTACAGAGCGAAAAGGCAACCTATAGAGTGGAAAAAAACATTTACAAACTATAAACCTGGCAAGGGTTTAATCTCCAAAAAATATTTAAGGAACTCCTACAACTCAATAGGCAACTCAAATCCAAACCCAAATATAAAAAACTAATTACCCAATTAAAAAAAACCTAAGAACTGAAATAGACATTTCTTTAGGAAGATACGTACACAGACAATAGGAATATATTAGACAATAGGTATATATTAAGAAATGCAGTGTCATTAATCATCAGGAAAATGCAAATCAAAAACACGATGAGCTATACCTCATACCTGTTAGAGTGGTATTATCCACTGGGAAAAAAAGAGAACATACTTGTATACTAGTGTATACTATTGCTGGGAGGCAAAAGAGGGAAGTCACTAGGGAAAGTGGTATAGAGCTTTCTCAAAAAAATAAAAATATAACATAAGATCCTGCAACTCCCCTCTGGATATTTATGCAAAAGAACAGAAATCAGGATCTCAAAAGGATATTCACACTCGCCTGTTTATTATAGCAATATTCACAATAGCCAAGATGTTGAAACAACCTAAATGCCCATCAACAAACACATGGCCACATGAAATGTGCATTTAGATACAATAGGATAGAATATCATTCAGTCTTTAAAGTGAAGGAATTTCTGCAATATATGGCAATAGGGGTAAACCTAGAGGATGTCATGTTCAGAGAAATAAGCCAGTTCCACAAAGGCAGATATTGAATGATTCTACTTATTTGAGTTATTTAAAATAGTCAAATCCATAAATGAAAGAGTGGAAGAATGATGGTTGCAGAGGCTGAGGGGAGAGGAAAATGGGCCTCAATAAGCAGAAGGCTTCAGTTAAGCAAGAGAAATAAGTTCTATAGATCTTCTGCATAACGTTGTACCTATAAGTGAATAAAACTGTATTGTACACTTAAAATGTGTTAAGGGGTAGATCTCATGTTAAGTGTTCTTATCCCAACCAAATAATAAGTTTAAAAAACTCTATACAGACTTTAATTTTAGTGATAAATTTCTCATGATCTAACCACTAGACTCAAAATGAAAACAGGCATATGGATATTGCTTTGCTAATATGGTGGTGACTGGGGCCTTCAAAGATGTTGTGTCTGCTTTTCCTGTTTGGAAATCTAGGATGGTCCCTGACTTCAGACTCTTTGACACTTCTTTCAGTAATCAGTTGTCAGAGCTAAAAATATCCATGAAAGACCAGTATGAAGAACACAGGAAACCCAGTGTGGAGCCTGAAAGAGAAAATGAACCGACAGTAGAGCTCTGGGATTTCTGTACCTTATCTTATTTTCCTCATCGTCCACAAGGAAGAACCAGCGGAACTTCACAACCAAGGGGCTGTAGTTGGTGACTGTAATGTAGCGGATGACCTCAGTGTCATTCAGGATACAGCCAAAATCCACCTCCATGGTCTCGAAGCTGAGGTTGGGGTAATGCACTTCTCCACGCAGGTTCAGGCTGTCCACCTGAGGGTGTTCCAGATACCTAATTGCCAGCACTTCTTCTGCAACCCAGTTGTTGAAATCATTTCTGTAGGTGGGATCGAATTTGACCAGCAGATGTTTTTCTTCATCAATGTCCAGTGTAATAGGCTAAAATCAAGATAATGGGGAATGACCAACTTTTGTACTATGAATTTCCAATATAATACATGAAACAGAACAACCAAGGTCATTTATATGTTTACACAGATATACACATACATACATATTAGTGTATTTACACACACACACTCAGTATGTAATTAAATAGCCAGTTCTATGGTTCCCTCCAAAACTCATGTTGAGGTTTGATTGCCATTGGGGCACTGCCAGGAGGTGGTACCTAGGGGGTGGAGTTCAGTTCATGGGAGTGGAGCACTCAGTATAGATTAATACCTTTCTTGCAGGAGAGAGTCCTGCTGTCCCAGGATTGGATCCATTACTGGGAGAGTGCACTGTGATAAAGTGAGATTGCCTCTTGAATCCTCTCTTCCATACACACCTTCTTGCCCTTCTGCTTAGCACCACAAATTGAAGCAACACAGGGCCCTCACGGGTATCTTGCGTTTGGACTCCCCAGATTCCAGAGCAGTGTGCCCAAATAAATGCAATGAATCTTTATTCTTTATCAATCACCCACTTTCACCTAATTCTGTTATACCAACGGAACACAGACTAAGACAGCTAGTAGAGTTACATACCTGCACATACACATTAGTTAAAAATGAAAGCAGAGAAAATTTGGAGAGGGATTATTTGGAGGAAAAGATTTTGATAAGAGTTGTGGGATTATAAGAATTGAGGGATGGTAAAGGGCCAAGTCTGCAAAGAATAACTATTGTGAAATATTCTTAACTGAAAATAAATTCAATTGTGAAATGCTCTTCCTAGACAAGTGGGAAAGTTCTTCTCTTAAGAAATTTTAAAAAGGCCTTTGAAAGGACTTGAGTGGAGGTTCTGTACAGAGTGACCCAGAAACTGTCAGATTAGCTAATTTAATTCCTTTCCAATGTCTGCAATCCTGACTCTTAAGCACAGTGTTATCCACTGTCCGATGTTTTCTATTCAATACTAGTTTTCTATTCTGTATTGGAGAAGCACAGAGTTTGTTTGGTAGGTTTTATTTTTCTTTTCTCTTTTTGATTCAGATCCCCAAGTGTTCCTTAATGTTCCTGTCTGCAGTAACACTTTCCCACAGAAAGGCTGGCCCAGAGTTGGCTTTTTCAAGGTATTGCTCAATTTCCACATTTAATTGTCACAAGAACCACCTCATGATACAGCATCAAGGGCCCAAGGCATTGGGAAGAATGAACGTGTCCAGTACCCCTCACCTCTCCACTGGGCTCAAATGGTTCAGGTACTTAACTGTGCACTTTAGTGACATGATTAGATGGTTTCCAATTGATAAAGTCAATCACCTGATCCAACAATGAGAGAGAGGCCCAATCCCAAATGAAAGTCACACTGGACACCTGTCCTTTGATTTTACCACTGACATACATGGCTGGGCACGCTTTTGAACCCATCCTTGTAAACTGTGACATCTATACACTTGGTAATGTAATAATGTTCAGTGTTTAAATATCTTTGGAAGATGGAAACTAAAATTTTTTACCCAATGGAATGATTTTGTTGTTTTACAGAAACATCTGCAAAATTTACATTTTATATATAAAAAACAAAAATTAAATTAGAAATTCATCCAAAAGTTCACCATATATTATTTCTCAGAGTTAATATTTGGTAAACGTTAATCCATACATGACATTTGAATAATAGAATTTTATACAAATGGCATTATACTGTGATATTTTTATTAAAAATATATGTTTGAATTTTTTAAAAAATGAAATATCTTTTTTTATTCAAGGAATATTAATCTCCAAGATTAAGGACTCCAGAACCAAACTGCTTGCATCCAAATCCAGATCCTGCTACTTACTAGCTGTGTAGGCAAAGTATTGGGTCTTAGTTTCTCTGTCTGTAAGACGGGGGTAACAATAGTACCCACCACTTTTTAAGAGGATAGGAGGAGTCAATATAGATGTGAGGTGATTCAGCTACAGTGCAAATGATACATAACTTTTAGTTATTACTATTAACCTTTTACAATCAAGAAAAAGATGGCTCAATGTTAAGTAGTTTTTATTGCCTCCTGGATATAAAAGGGGAGGGAATCAGCACACTTATGCTTTGCCTAACTCAATATTTTTTTGTTGTTGTTACAGTGAGTTTTAAAAAGCTGGGGTTGAAAACCTTCTTCCCTCAAATGCCAGCTGCCCAAGTTGTGTAATTTCAGTTAAATGGACTGAGAGCTTCCTATCAGTCTTCCTCATAGTTTTTTTTTTTTTAAATCATCCCTCAAGACCTTATTTAATTCTTCTGGATGATTGTGTTTCATTGGCAAATTGTTTCTTCATCAAATTGGCTATTCCTCAATATGAATGCTTGTTCGATGATTCCTTGCATCCTGAGAGTGCCTGTTTGTTGAGTATTCTTAAAGGATTCTCTTAACTCATGGGCCAAACTTTCCCTCAAAATTCTTCAGTCATTGCTTCATTGTCATTTTGCATTGAGTTATTGAAGTCTGAGGTTAGTATAAAACATCTCTTTGATGTGTTGTTTTCTGTTTTGATGCCACAGAATTCCTTGGTTACCAATGAGTCCTGTGACTCTATTAAGATATTTTTCACTCTTGAATGTTCTATGTATTTTGCCTCAGGCATTGGTTTTAAAAATCTTTAAAACACATTTCAGTTATATTTTGAATAAGAACAATGAAAAGCAAATCATTGCTCTACCTTTACCCTCCTGTGAGGTTACCAAGCTTACAAATGTCTTGTCTATCTTTGTAGACATATTCTAGGGACATAAAAATCACATTTACATGTTTCCTCTTATCTTTTACACATATGAGAATATATTAGATACATTGTTCTGTATTTTACTTCTCTCACTGGGAGAGAAGGGAGCTGCCTCATTCTTTCTAGTAGCTGCATTTAATTCCGTCACATAATTCTGCCATCATTTAGTTAGCTAATCTCCCACTGAAGGATGTTGGCTCCTAATCTTTTACCTTTATGATCAATGTTGCAATAAATAAATACATGTCATCTCATATGTTGTGTCTGTAGTGTACATTCCTAAGTGTGGAATTACCAGATCAAAGGCATGGACATTTAAAATCTTGATACCTACTGCCATATTACCGTCCAGGGTACACTGCCCCACACTGTATGAGAACGTCTGTTTCCACATGCTTTCCCTAACACTGAGTACTACCCAAGTTTTGTTCTTTGCCAATCTGATGGGTTACAAATGTATTTATGGAATTTTAATTTATATTTCCTCAAATATGAATAAATTTGAGCATATTTTTACATGCTTAAAAGTCATTTTAGAGGGACTAGGGGACTAGGGCTGTAGTTCAGTGGTAGAGTGCTTGCCTAGCATGTTTAAGGCCCTGAGTTCAATCCTCAGCACCACATACAAACAAATAAAGGTATAAAAAAATACAACAACATTATTAAAAAATATTTTTTTAGAAAAGTCTTTTTAGAGCTGAGCACAGTAGTGCATGTCTGTAATCCCAGCAACTCAGTAGGCCAAGGCAGGAGGATTGAAAGTTAAAGCCAGCCTTAGCAACTTAGTGAGGCTCTAACCAACTTTGTGAGACCTTATCTCAAATTAAAAAAATAAAAAAGGGCTAGGGATGTGGCTCATTTGTTAAACACCCTGGGGTTCAATCTCTAGTGCCAAAAAGAAAAAAAAAGCCACTTTATTTTTCTTTCTGTGAATCCTATGCTCATTTCCTTTGCCTATTTTTCTGACAAATTGATGGTATTTTTTTCTTATTGATTTGTGAAAGCTCTTTTTTTTAAAGTACACATGTGCTTTTATTAAGGTTATATGTACAAATAACATAAAAGGTGAAATTGTATTATAAGAAACTAGGTCCTGATCCACCCTGACATCTCAACAAGCCAGAGGCTCCAACTTATTAATTTTGTCATCAAGTTGGTTTCCTGAACAGTTTCCTTGGACAGAGAGGAGATGATTAGGCTGTGGGTATATACCCCAGATACCAAAATGGGGAACGAGGGGTCTTCCTCTGGGGTACCAACACTGACAACACCAGAGGCATGAGACTTCCTCAAACATTTCCATCAATTTCTTTTTTTTAAATTTCATTCTTAATTGATTTTATTTTTTAAAAACATGACAATAGAATGCATTTTAATTCTTACACATATAGAGCACAATTTTTCATATCTCTGTTTGTTTAAAATATGGTTTACACCAATTTGTGTCTTCATACATGTACTTTGGATAATAAAGTCCATCACATTCCACCATCATTGCTAACCCCCTGCCCCCTCTCTTCCCCTCCCACTCCTCTGCCCTATCTAGAGTTTGTCTGTTCCTTCCATGCTCCCCCTCCCTACCCCACTATGAGTCAGTCACCTTATATCAGAGAAAATATTCGGCATTTGTCTTTTGGGATTGGCTTACTTCACTTAGCATTATCTTCTCTAACTCCAACTATTTACCTGCAAATGCCATGATTTTATTCTCTTTTATTGCTGAGTAATATTCCATTGTGTATATATTCCACATTTTTTTTTATCCATTCATCCACTGAAGGGCATTTAGGTTGGTCTTACAGTTTAGCTATTGTGAATTGTGCTGCTTGAACCAAGAATCAATAAATGGGATGGACTCAAACTAAAAAGTTTCTTCTCAGCAAAAGAAACAATCTGTGAGGTGAATAGACAGCCAATATCTTAGGAGCAAATTTTTACCCCTCACAATCAGATAGAGCACTAATCTCTAGGGTATATAAAGAACTCAAAAAGCTAAGCACCAAAAAAACAAATAACCCAATCAATAAATGGGACAAGGACTTAAACAGACATTCCTCAGAAGAGGATATACAATCAATCAACAAATATATGAAAAAATGTTCATAATCTCTTAAAATTAGAGAAATGCAAATCAAAACTACTCTAAGATATCATCTCACTCCAGTCAGAATGGCAGCTATTATGAAGACAAACAATAAGTGTTGGCGAGGATGTGGGGGAAAAGGCACACTCATACATTGCTGGTGGGACTGCAAATTGGTGCAGCCAATACAGAAAGCAGGATGGAGATTCCTTGGAAATCTGGGAATGGAACCACCATTTGACCCAGCTATCCCTCTCCTTGGTCTATACCCAAAGGACTTAAAAACAGCATAATACAGGGACACAGCCCCATCAATTTCTTAAAAAAACAAAACAAAACAATAACTATTTTCATCTTTTGAGTAAATGCCAGCTGTCCATACTTTCTGGGTGGTTCTGGTACACACAGAATCCCTCAAGTTTCTGCACAAGTGTTGTTTTCTTCTCCTCTTGCTTAGGACTATTTCCTCTTTTCTGTCTCCTTCAGAGATGTTCGCTGGCTTCCCCCCTCATACTTGAACAAGACCCACTTATTCAAAGAATCCCTGGGGAGGAGCAGAGGAGGGTGCAGAGCAGCACAGCTCACAGCCTGGCACGAGCACTGTCTGGAGCACCCTCTCACCAAATGCCTGTCCTCACTCTCCCTAAAGATCCATCTCTCTGAGAGTGGCTGCTGCAAAATCTCCCAAACTCTCAAACTCCCTCTTCTGAGAGCTCCAGAGTGCTGCCTGCTCTGCCTTGTTCCCCCGTCCATTCTCCACCAGCTGTCTCCTGGGAGGGGAGAGTGGAGCAAAATGGTGCGTGGGGGCTGTTTCCCCTTGGGTCCTCCTTTCCTACAGCTCTGCAGTGTCACTTGGCCATGGCCAACCCTTCTCACTGGTGTCCCCCTGTCCAGCAAAGGACCCTGGGGACTGTCTTGAAGGGCTGTTTAGAGAATGCTACCTCTTGTCCCAGAGGTGGCAGCAGTGAGCTCACAGCCTCCTCCATCAGCCTGGTTTGGATTTCTCAGTGTATGGACACAGGCTTGCTGGACTGGAGACTGGGCCTCGCTGTTTCCTCATTTTCTTGAGTATGGGGTTTTGGTTGGATTTGAAGGAGAACCAAAAGCTCTTTATTACCACTAGTAGGAAGTCATGGCTTTCTGTAGAATGGCTTCATTCTGGGAGGTGGGGAAGTTCTCACACCATTAATGATGGCGCTCCTGCTGACTGCTGTTGTAGTTTATTTATTTATTTTGTTTTCCATATTTTTTTCCTATTGGTTTCCCAGATCTTTTAAATTATTTTTTTCTGAACCAGTTAGGCAGTGTATCATTATTATTCTCTTCCTTTTCACACACACACAGCCCCCATCCCCACCCCATCGTTACCTCAGACGTTGTGGGCAACGGGGATTTATCAGTCTCACATATAAAGAAGGGTCTAGTTGTTGAGAGCATCATGTTCACAGGCAGAGTGGAAATGTTCTTTATGGCCAAGGGCTGGTAATCAGCTTCCAAGGCACTGTTAGGTTTCTGGAAAAGGAAAAAAGAAGCAAACCAAGTTGTGGTTAGTATAACAAGCCTTTGGCAACAAAAGTCACACATTCATTGTTAACAAGCTTAGTGCTCTCCCCTTATGTATTTATGTTTCCCCTGGTAGAAATTTAGATAAATCATGTGGAATGTTACACAGTGGACTCCTGAAAGAGAGAACCTGCATAACCCAGAAAACAGGAATGAGATTTCTGACTCTTATTGCCCACCTGAAAATACCTGGAGAAGCTATGCTTCAGATATAACTATTACATAGAACTTTCCATAGCGTCATAAAGTAGTCTAACACACAAGTGATATCTTGTGAATCTAGATATCACTGTAGCAGCTAAACATTTTTCCCTTATGTAACACTTTTTCTATACTTAAAATACCCAATCTGCAAACATACTTATCTTGTTACATTGACAAATGCTTATAACTATTTCCTGTAAATTTTTCCTGATACCAACAGGACAGTTGATTTAGAAACATCTCCTCACTTTGTTAGTCTATAAGATATTTTATTTTAAGCCAGAGAAAGCATCTGAACTGGTTCTTAAGCTAGAAATTTCTGGTCAGACTGGATTGTTTCATTCAGATGTTAGGGTCACATTATTTCTCTTGTGCACTGGAAAGGGGGTCCTTTAGTATCAGCTGGAGGAGACCAGAAACCTGAACATCTGGCCTCCAAAGAGAACTTGCTTCCAACCATTCCTGGCTCTTCCTGTCACTCTAGCCTGTTTTGCCAGGCCTCTGTGATTTGACTTACCTTTTCTCTTTGTTCTAATTTTAGTTAAGTCCTGTTTTCATGCTGGGATCTGACTCCCTTTTCCAGTGTTTGTCCAGAAAAGTCTTCCTTCCACTGTGGTTCTTGGGTCCTCCAGCCTTGGGTGAGCCTGGGTGGCCAGCATATTCTGCCTCAAGTCTCCTTTCTCAATAGTACCCCATTACCTCCTCGTGTATGCCCCAGGTTATTTCAGGAGTACGGTCTGGCATTTACCATGTGAGGCCAGCTATTGATTCCTCCCCCTCTGGTGGTAACATGGGTAGCACATTGACTGCCTTTGCATTTGCAGGTTGCGTATTGCCATTTAGAGGGGGTACGAAGCCACACATTTGGGCCTACTAGGTAACAGGCGGCATGGAGAACTGTCTACCCAGTGACCTTCCCTGAAGGCTGCTGTGTCACTGCAGATGGCTTTGAAGTGAAGAAGCCACACTTGGTTGGTTTTGGCAAGGGGCCATTCAGAGGTTAGTGATGAGAAGGAGCTGAAGCCATGAGAAGCTGGTCTATTTTAAAATGACCCCTTCTCTCTGGGCTGTTTGTCTCCCCGAAGATCAGCCGACAGAGTCTGCTGCTAGAACTTCATGAAGCAAACGGGGCTGAAAGTTTCAATTGACCTTTTCAATTCCACAGAGATGTGGTCTCGTCTCCGTGGCTTGTGAATGGTACAGTCATTATAAAGTAGATCAGACCTGAGGAAGCAGTCACAGAAAAGCCCTTTCCAGAGACGGGGCACGTATCATTATATTCTAAATCAGATGCCCTGCCTTGAGCTGACAACACAGAGGCAGAACAGATAATTGGGTGTTAGACAATTAAATCAGAATACCAAGACCTAACCGGTCCCCTTGCACACTCTGGTAATGAAGCCGCATTTCTTCCCCATTCCTGATATGGATTAAATCTGAGCAGGAAATGAACGATGAAAAATATGGTGGTAGGAAAAAATTTCAAGCTTCTGATGTTGGGGGAAGGAGAGAAGGATGAAAACAAACAGCAGGGGGCTGTGGCTCAATTCCCTTTTTAATTCAACAAGAAGTTACTGCAGTATTCAGAATATTTGCATATTTTAATATAAAACTCAAACAATAGACAATGAAGCAAAATATGCTACCCTTCCCCCTGCCAAAAGGCATAAGGATATCAAGAAAAGGAGCATTACTCACATTTTTTATGTTTATGGGCTGAGAAAAACCTCATAAGAAACTAAGCTGAATATTTAACATATAATGTCTTACGCAGAATAGTTATTTAATAAATATTCCCTGAATTCTCTCTGAATAGCTGCATTCAGAGAGAATTTGATGCCATCAAATTCAGGGCAGCTGTGGCCAATAAATATCTTTCTTGATTATTTACAAAGGAAGAATTTAACACAGAGCAGTGAAACTTAATAACTGCAGTAGGAATTCTCCTAGTATTTCTTTCTGCATGGCTCATGGAGATTGTTAGCTTCATGTGTAGCTGGGCTGTCACCGAAAGCCTTATTTTGCTTCCTCAATGCCCACCTTCTCCCAAGTCTGCTAAGCCAGGGTCTTTGCTGGGTCTTTCCTGCCCTGTACATTGAAAGTGTCTAGTACACTCTCAAACTATTGTTGATTTGAACTGATTTACTACATCTCAACTCTCCTACTGGACCATGAGCTCCCCTTTTCATCTCCTAACACAGCACCTTATCCATGGTGGTGCTCAGTAGATTTTTATTTTAATGAACAATATATCCATTATCAGAATAGCTGGTCTTGAACACCCTCCTGCAATTCTCCAGGTAATGAAAGGAACCCAAGGTGCATTCCTCCACCTTGGTTAGGCACTGACTGGTTAGGCACTGCCATCCCCAGCACTTTTGTATGATAGTGTAGACACTCAGGGGGTCGATGGCTTCCTTAATGCCTGGTCTTCCCAGTAGTCTGTGAGCATCACGAGGGAAGGACGATTCTCATTGCTGTCTATCTAGCTCCTGACAAAGAGTCCAATACATGAAAGACCTGTTAACAATTCTGCTCAGCTGACAGCATGACTATCTCAATGAATAAATATCACTGTGTCACTCTCCTCCCCGAAGCCCTCCCATGGCATGCCTCTCAGGTGCCACACACACTTGGCCCCTGTCTTCCCTCCAGAGATCTCCCACCATTCTTGGCATCTTCTCTGTCCATGGGGGGGCCTTTCAGTTCCTCATCTCACCAGGCCTTTTCCTAGCTCAGGCCCTTTTCATGACTTGTCCCCTCTGCCTATAACTCTTTCCCCCTTCCTCGTCACCATATGAACTTCTAGTTTTACTTCAAGTCTCAACTTGAGGCACTGTGCCCACATGGACAAATAATTGACAGATAAGCCCATGTCTCCCACTCTATTCTCATGGCACCACACAACTCTTCTTCATCGCAATGTTTATAACAATTACATTTTGCTAATTCATTTACAGTCTATGACCTTGACAAGTCTCTTAGCTTTGAGGATGTTGTCTTGTTCACCAGACTTTCAGCACTAGCGCAGTCCCTGACTCAGAAGCGACATTTCATACATGCCTGTTTTCAGTAGTAAATAATTCTAGAATGGAAACTTGTCTAGGAGTAGATCAAGTCTACCATGATGACTCATCCACTCCTTCACCAACTGGACCCCTGCCCTGGGCAGCAGCCATTCCCCTCACACACCTGGCCCCTGACTCTCCCATTTATTGCCTGACCTTAATGGCTATACAAAGTCACAGACACACATAGCCATATAAATTGAAGAGACTGAATCATATAATTTGATTGTTCTTCAGCAGTGTTAGGTAGTCTACATAGTTTAATTTTTATGAGAATAATAACAGAGTCTACTGCATAGGGGTTTTGTGAGAGATAATTTGGAAAATGCAAATAATGAACATGACTCAAGGCCCAGCCATTCTAATCAATAAGTGGTATCTATTCTTACTGATTATTATAATTATGGATAATTATATTCCAACCCTTTCTCGACTGTGATATTCATTTTACCTAAAGTAAAATGAACATTCATTCAATAGAAAAGCATTCTCAGTGCACCAGAATGCCCCTTCACTCTAGTCTTCCACATCAGGAATGAAGGAAATAGAATTTTCATTGCAAAGGATTGCACTGCAGGTTTAGATTCAGAATTTTTAGTTGAAGACATACTGGCTTCTGAAGCTTAAAAAATATTGGCTGGGTAATGGCTGTGACAGGATTCCAGTTAATTTAGCTTCCAAAATGAAAATGTGAACATGTTGATGCCCCAGTCAGAGCACCCGACCCTCCCTAGCACAGCCCAACTGACCTTCTCTAGTCGGTATAGGAGCTGCTTGGTGGAGAGCTGGATAAGAGGTGCTATAAATTCACAGATGACAGTCACGGTCATCACCAAGCTCTTGCCCTTCTGGGCCCCAATGATGGCATGGCACACCAGCTTTTCTTTGACTATCTGCAGACGAGATACACCAGCATTTTCAAAAGAACTGTTAACTCAGAAAACTTAATGACCCATCAGGAGCAAACTGATTCCAAATTACTTGCCCAAGGACATGAGGGAAGAGCACATTTCCTTGAATAGTGCATTTTAGGGATTGCTCTCTGTCACACAATTATGTTCTGGTTGGTTAAATATGGCCTTGATGAATTGTTTATTTTTGACTACCCCTTAGGACACATTTACATACATACATATTATTATTATTATTATGCAACAGGAGATGTTTTATGGGCTGTGTGTCTAAAACAGATAAAAAAATACTTCATAGGCAGCAACTTAGTGAAGCCCTAAGAAACTCAGTGAGACCTTATCTATAAAAAAATATTAAAAAGGCTGGGGATGTGACTCAGTGGTTAAGCACCTCTGGGTTCAATCCCCAGTACCAAAAAAAAAATATATATATATATATTAAAATCCCTCATAGAGCTTATAGTTCAATGGTAGTTATAAGATTTCTTATCAAACTAGTTGGAAACTGTGGTTGGATTAATTTTGCCTTTCAGACTTATGTATTTAAAAATTATGTATTAGAAATGAACATTTCTTTGGAACCAAGGTGTCCCAATTTTTATAAAGTAAAAGGGAACAAAATTGAATTTCTATCATGAATAGTTTGTACCAAAGAGTGAATTCAACTACATGGCATGATTTGGAAGTTCTTAGTAAATCTTAAACTGAATTTAGTCCTCCAGTAGCTCAGATGTAATCCCTTTAAAAGCATGAAAACTCTTGATAGTCCCGTTATAAATGTGCTCCTGCTATAGACAGTGAGTGTCTTGAGATAAGCGGCTGTGTTCTACTCATGTTTTGCATCCTCAGTGCCCCGCACAGTGTTTGCCACATGGCACATATTCTAAAAGTTGGCTGGAATCCCAAGTGACAGAGAAAGGGAGTACATTATAGACTCTGTAATGAAAGATAACTTTTTTTTCTTTTTGCATTGAGGATGTATTCTACCTGAAAATGCTCTCTGAAAAAATAATGTAAATGCAATAAAATGAAACATGTGACCCCAGCAATGGACCAATCACAGACCAGCTTTGTCATCTTGTCTCTGGGAGACAAATTTCTTATTGCTTCCTATTTCATTAGGAGAAAATTCAGTATCACCTCCTACTATGGTGACACAAGCAGGAACTTAAGCAAGCATAGTTTCTCACTCATAAAATCTGCATTTGTAGGACAGGAGAACCTTTTTTCCCAGTGTTGGGGAATGAACCCAGGGCCTTGTGAATCCTGGGCAAGTGCTCTATTATTGAGCTACATCTCCAGCCTGGGAGAAACACTAATGTGACTTCAAAATCCTTTCTTTTAAGTTTTTGGTGGTTTCTAAACTCCCTGAGGGGACGTAATAAAAAGACACATGGTTTGGAATTGCTTAAATGTTTTAAGCTGAATGTATGGTGATAATGTAAATAAGAGTAAAAACACCTGAGCTGCTGAAAATAAACATGGCTGTTTCATTGACATATAAACTATTATGTTTCAAATGTGATGCTGTTACAGTCAGACAGGAAGGGAAAAAGCCAGGGGTGTTGTCATACCTGGATAGAAGAGGCATCCCAGAGTAGCTATAAAAATATTCTTTTTTTGAATAAATGTTAAATTAATACTGCTGTGTTAATAGGAAAAAACTGCCTTGACTGAAAACTGATGTTCCTGTATCAAAGATTTGCTGGCTCTTCACTGTTTACCTGGGAAGGAGAACCTGCTTTAAATGGTCCTTTGAGTTTAGGTTCATGGTAGCTATAGAAACAAGCAGAAAATGGAGCAGAGCTAAACCTTGAAAGCAGTGGATGCTGCCTTGGTAAGCAACTCAGTGCTATATACGATCCTTGAGAAACCATGTCCTTTTTCAGATAAATGTCAAGGGACTCTCCTAAGAAATAGATACAATACAGCAAAGGTTTATTTAGGAGAAAAAATAGCTTCTGAATGTTCTGTCCCCTTACCCTGGGAGTAGCAGAATAGCCTTCAAGTATCATATCTATTGTCTGGCCTGGGTAGAGCTCCATCCGGACAGGGTGGATCTGAAACACGGGGCTTCCTAGATCCCTGGGCTCCTGGGAGTCCTTGGGCTGGGGACGACCACCAGCATGTCTCTTCTTAATCTGTCCCTTCTTGTACAGCTTTTCCTGGGGACGGAAATCATCATTCATCCAGAACAACTGTTGGATCCGACGTCCCTTATTAGTCAACTTGAAGTGGTAATAGTGGGTATCCAGGCTGAAAAAGAGGTAGGTGTTGAGAAGGTTCCATTTAGGGACCTTATGCTCAGTTCTATACCCTTGGGATTAACTCCTCCAGAAGTACTTAAAAAGTAAGAAGAAAATAAGACCTCCCTTTTTAATTAAATATAGGACACTACTAGGAGCGATCACAGTGATGGAGCAAGGTGGTATGTACTAAAAGGCCCCCGGATTTCGAGTTGGGAACCTTATCTGGTCCCAGAGTTGCAACCATTAGGTGTGGGGCTGTGGGGAAGTGGCCCCATCCACCCCTAGTCTTCCATAGCAAGCCAAGCAAACCACAGGGCACGCGGACACAGTTCATGTGGAAAGCACTCTAAATAATGAGAAATGGTTGTGAGGAGTAAAGGAAAGTGAAATACTGACTGAAGGAGAAGCATATTTCAAAATGTGCTGGGGAAATTTCCACTGAGTGAGTGAAGAGTCTTGTGCTGGTGGCTCATGTTGAGAGCACTTTGAGGGGAAGCAACGCATATTCCTTAGGCCTTAGCAGAGGTCAGGGGGAAATGGATGAAAGTGGGCCAGCACACCCTCTAGACTGGGCATTCTCCTCAGACTAATTCACTTTCAATAAGCTTCTTTCTCCTCCCTCCCTCCCTCCCTCCCTTCCTTCCTTCCTTTATCTATTCCACAAATACTTTTTAAGGATCTCCTGACTGCCTGGCTCTATGTAGAGACTGGGATTTCTAAAATCTTAGTGGTGATTCAAACGTGTTTTGTTTGAGATTTTTAAAAACTGATGTATAGGCTTCTTTTCTTTTTTTCAGGGAAAAAAATCTTATCTCAAGACTGCTTTTATTCTTTACATTTTTATTAGGCTTGGAGATTTCATCCTGTCTGCTCCTAGGAAATGACATCATGTCTAATTAGTAAGTTGAAGCAGCAAATAAATAATCAGAAGAAATATTTACCAGTTGTCAGGTAAAAACAATTCTCTCTCAATATGTATCTACAGGATATGCCCAATGGAATATCTTTTCCTGGAAGTTTAACTTTGTGGACAATGGTATAATATGTAATATATACTGTTTATAAACTAGATAGGGCATCTGTTAGTTTTTACAATATATCTTTCAATAATCATAGAAACACAGACATCATAAGTATGTTAGCTCTTATATTATAAAGAAATAGAACATCTGAAAATTTAAGAGAATTGCCCCCAAAATTGCAATTAGAAAGGGGAGCATATGAGTATGTTATTAGATCAGGGGTTGGCCAACATTTTCTGTAAAGGGCTGAATAATAATCATAATATTTTAGGCTTTTGAGACCACATGGTCTCTGTCACAACTACTCAACTCCTATAGTGTAAAAGCCAGGGACATAGTGGTTGTGCCAATAAATATAAATATACTTTATTTATAGAAGCAGGCAGTGGGCTGCAGTTTACCCTTCTTATTTTTGAGGATTCTTTTGGCAATTGCTGGCATGATTTTATGTCAAAAAAGAATAACAATAGTGTTTGGGCAGAGGGGAAATCAGCAGCTAAAAACTACAGTTTGCTTGTATATTCATAGTGAATGGTTAGCTAACCCTCCAATTCCAGGCAAGTGTTGGAATATCCTTTGGGGGCTATTCGACACTATTTGTAGATTAAGAAGAACATGTAATTAGATCTAGTTTGCAGTACATTGTTTTCTGTAATTAGATTTGGGTGTACTTGAAGGAATTTAAAAACAGAAGCACGAGATTGCAGTGACAAAATTCCCTAGCTTATGGACAATAAGCAGAGAGGGAGATTTTTATATCTACTTGACTCAAAAAATATAACTGTTCACAGTAAAGTGTTCTCAGTAATACAACAGACAGGTGCCAGCCCCAGGAGTCAAGTACTGATAAACGCATGCTTCCCTCAAGGAACCAGGAATAAATCCCCACACATACCCTCTGTCCTAAGCATTCAAACTCATACTTTTTATGTCCATACTAGATTGTACGCTTGAAGGTATCTACACTTTACCATCTTTTATCTAGATATTTAGACCCTCTAGCTTTTCAAGTCAATTGTAGCCATCTCAATTGTTGGCACTATAGTGGGGAGGCAAGTAGAAATAATGCCAAAAAAGCTACTAGCTTTGTAAGACCTGATACAATATATTTGTAATAACTTTTTTTTTTTACTTCCTAGATCCTAGATATACTCTATTTAGGTTACCACTAAGATGCATCTGTATGGAGAAGAATTAGTGATATATTGGAATCAAAGAGAAGAAATCATGGTTGAGAGTCCAATTCATCACAGAGAAGTTCCTTGTAAGTTTGAGAGAAAGTGCACTTCCTCCAAATGATCCCCTTCTCTGGGGTAGAGTGACATAGCTTAGAGAGTGTAACCAACCTATGACTAGGAAACACCTTCTTGTGGCCGAGGTAGCCTACAGGATGGGGGAAAGTGAGGATGGTACACAAGAGGGACTGAGGAGGCCAGTTCTATTTGCCAGTTTTCTAAAGCAGGGGTGATGTCCAGCTTCCGTAACATATGTGATATCTATAAAAACTGGTCCATGATATCTCCCTACCTAAAGTGCGCTCCCAGGTCGAGTTCTGGAGCAAAGGGCTTATCTGAAACAATGGTAGAACCAATTCCTGAAGCCTGGACAGGAATCCGAAACGTGTTGCTATTTTCAACTTCCAAAATGACTGTGTCTTTGAACGTCAGAATGTCATTCAGGTTGGCAGTCAATGTCAGTGGAAAATCTCCTTCTGCAGGAACTGTGCCTTCATTGGGTTCAATGGTCCAAAGGGACTTTTCGTGTGCCTGCAACACAAGACTACAAGTTAACAGGGAAGATATTCTTGGCTTTTCATTCTGCACATGTCAAAGCCCTCTGTACTTCAAATGGCTGGTACCACAGAATTCAACATCAGAGACAAACATTATTTTTTTTTTCTGAAATCAAAGCAGCTGTATGTTTGTTGGCTTTTCTTTTTTCAAAAAGCAATCTGATTCTGAGGAGTAAACCTCCGATTCTACTTTTGAATGCTCTGTGAAGATTCTTTACATCTCTTTCCCATGATGACAACCCAGTTCACTAACAAGCTTAGACTAATTATCTGCTCTAATCTCCAAATTCTGGGATAGTAACAGATTTTTATGGAATTTGGAATTTTAAAAGAAATGTTTTCAAATGCAAAGCTTCTAGTGTTATAGTGAAGATGGACAGCTTTTATTAATAAGCAGGATATAGGAAGTCACTTTGATTTCTTCTACTTCATAATAATTAATAGAATGTCAATGACTAAAATCCCAAAGAATTTGAAGTATATGGTGTGACTGAATTATGCAGTTGGAAGTGACTTCTACCAACTCATTCCCTTTAACTGCTTAAATCTTCCAAGCTCACTCCTCTTTGTTAAAACAATTCCTCTCAATAATGCTGACTCTGACCATCACCTTTCAAAGTGTACACCCACCCTCAGAAAATCTGGCCACTTTTACCTCGCTCTGTTTTTCTCCTTTTTACTTACCATCTTCTAACGTGAATTAGTTACCATGGGCATTGTCTGTCTCCTTGCACTTCAATATAATCCAAACACAGAAAGAACTTGGACTTTTGTTTGCATTTGCTTGCTCACAGATATGTCCCCAGCATCTATAGCTATGCCAAGTATATAGTAGGTATTTAATAAATATTTGACAAAGGAATAATATATTAGCTTTTTAATCAAATTCTTTGATGACAGATAACTTACTTCTTTCCTAATTTGTCTAACAACTCAAATTATTAGACATATCTTTTTTATATGATGTAGAGATGTGCTTCTTTGGACCTTTTACACACTGGGTTTTAGTGCACTTCTTTGGACGGTAAGTTGAATCTACCTCTTTGGAAGAAAACTTTCTACATCATAAATAAGGCTCCAAAGTAAGGTACAGTATCAAATCAGAAAAAAAAAATGACTCATGCCATAAGCATTTTTTTTAACAACTGAAAATCAATTTATTAAAACAGTGGTCTTAGACATCTGCAATGGTGACTTCGACCTCCACTCCTGGCTCAATACTGCAGGAAATAATCTGCTGAACGATCTCAGAAGGGCTATGCAAGTCAACGAGTCGATTGTGGATTCTCATCTGGAAAAGAGCCCATGTCTTGGAACCTTCACCACAAGGTGTTTTTCTTGTGGTGATTCTCAAAGTCTTGGTTGGCATGCGAACAGGTCCTTTCACTTTGAGATTCTTTTCCTTTTGCGCCTCTGATCAAGTCAGCACACGCTTTTTCAAGTGACTTCATGTTACGGCTCCGCTGCACCCACAACAGCGTCCTCTCAAAAAGAAGCAGTTTATTCAAGTTTAAAACATAATTTCTGCTTCATTGATGATGATCTCTTAGATAGTTTTGAGGATGTTTTCCTTGTCTTTGAATGCTTACAGTGGAGGTTCACTGTAATATATTCAGGTCTGAATATACTTTAATATTCTGCTTGGAATTTGCTATCTTTCCAGAGTCTTTGGTTTGATATCTTTTATTTCTGAAATATTATCTCAACCATTGTCTGTTTAAATATTGCTTCTGACTCATTCTCTTCCTTCAATCCTGAGGACTCCATTTATACACGTATGTGACTTCCTGTTACACACTCTCCTATCCTCCTATCTGCATTTTGCTCTCTGTGCTTCATCTTGGATGGTTTCTTCTGATCTATTTTCCAGTTCACTAATTCCTTTTTCAGCTGTGTATAATATGCTGTTAAACACACACATTATGTTCTGAATTTTGGTTTCTGCATTTTAGGGTTCAGGTCTTGGTATTTTATATTTCTTCTTCTAAGGTTTTTATCCCCTTGGGAGATTTTGCAATCATGATTATGATATTCACCATTCTAGCTGCTCTTCCTGGTCCCTCTAGGTTTCTGCAAACTTGATGAGCAAATTGTTTTTAGGACTTTTCAAGTAAATATAACAAATATATATTCAATGACCCTGTGGTCCATTTTTGTATTTCCCACAACACAAAAATGCCCAAAGCATATTATCTTTCCCTAAGGAGCTGACAGTGATGGCATTCGGGGAGACCAACACCTAGACAATAAAAATACAAGTCAGAAGGAGCTGGGGCGACAGTGCTTTTCAGAGCAGAGGATGCTGGAACCCTTGGATTGAGACAAATATATCATACACATTTCATTTTTCCACCAAATGTGAAATTAGACTTAATTACCAAGTGGTGTGTTCCTAATTACATTATGCTATTGGTTAAAAACTCTAATTGTATATATAAACAATTATCTCAAAATTAATAAGAAAAATCCTTTCCCTGTTTTGATTGCTGTTTCCTCTAAATCAGTTCTGACAGTTCTGTTTATTTTGGGGAACACACCACTCAGAAGTAATGTGTGGATTAATCGTCATAGAAAATATTTAGTGATTTCCAATTTGCATCAGGAAAAAATCTAAAGAAGAGGAGCTGTGGAGATCATCTAAAAATTTCCAGGATAATGACTCAGGGGAAAAGCCAAATTGTCCAGTTCAGTGGAGAAGAGCTCAATGGTTCCCTGGTATATCTTCCTTGGCTTCCCATACTTTCCCAAGCATAGTGACTCAGAAGAAGCCCTTCAAAATAAAGCATATGGAGGAAAATGGCATATTTAAAACCAAATGTAAAATTTACTTCTAAGCTGGACTTTGGAGGACATCCCAGGCTAAAAACATCTTTCTTCCATTTAATTCTGATGGTGTATGTCTACTGAAAAGAACGAAAGGAGAAACATGAGACAACATGTAACTGGATGGGGCTCAGGTGCACCGGAGGCTGTAAATCAGAAACTTCCTGATAGGCTTGGGTTGGAGTTGGAATAGAGCTGCATAGTGATCTCTGTACCTGATGCGAATGTACATTGCATATTGCAGTTAAGTATTAGAGACTGCAGGCAGGCAGAATCTCACAGGGTGACATTCAGTAAGTGCCTTGGAACATTATCAAAATCCAGATCTGGCTTAAGTGCAGATTCAGAAACTGAATCTGGTCAGGGAGGCCCAATCAAGGATCATTCTCTTAGGAACTGGCTCACGGGTACTTATTCGAGGAGAATCTAATACTTAAATCAAAATACCAATTTTCCAATTTGCAAAGGAGGATAAATTGTATTAGGCCAGAATGCTAGTTAAATTTCCTCCTGGTTTGAAAGTCTACATGGGAAATAAGTAAATTGCATTTTAAAATTTAAGTGAATTAAGTAAAGCAAAGAAGAATATTTTCAAGATTATAAATTGTATATAATGAGGATGTAGATGAATGATGGGAGGAAATTTTATTTTAACTTCAATAATAATGGAAATTATAGATTTAACTTTAAGTCAAGAGTCTATTATTACTCATGATCTTTGAATCTTTTGGGATATAAAAATAGAAGGAAACAATTAAACATCAAATACTACACTAAATAAACTAGGATTTAGATGGAGATACTTGTATGATAATTGTCCATGTTTGAAGGGCACTTGTGGAAAGTATGCTAATTCTTGCATGACTCAATGTGTTTTTCAAAAATTTCTCCTGTAACTTTCCTACTCAAACTTAGCTCTAGCAGAATATTAAAATATTAAGAAGTAAGCAAATCCTGTCTTTCAGAACATTAAAATGCTCTTGTTATAACTGTTTGTTAATGTATTAGTAAAAGATAATAATCCTTATAAGTTTGATTTTCACGTGTGTAGGTCAATTATTATTGGCAGGAGAAAAACTACAAGAATTGATGCTACAATATTCTATTCATATTTAGGTTCAAAGAAATAATTTCTAATGTATTTTCTTAATTTATTCCCCGCAATTTTTTTAATATTCTCAAAGTGAAAGCACTAAAATGAGTTCTAAAAGAGCTATAAATGCAAATTCAATCTTCTATTGATATTTTTGAATGGATCAAGTTAGCTTCATTTCATCTAAAGTTTTTATTGCAGTAGATAGGAGTCCTTGACTTATAACATATTCAGTCTGACCTACACAATCAAAGCAATACAGGGAAATAGATTTTTCATGCCCGAGTAATCAGCCCTTCTCCTTTTTTAGAATTACTTGTCTGTCTTACTTGCAGTTTTTATATTCCAAGCAGCTATTTTAGATAAGGTAATGATAGCTGCTATAACAGAAAGACCTCTGATACTCAGTGGCTTAATATAATGGAAGCTTATTTCTTATAGCTTCTGTGGAAAGAAGACCTGAAGCTGCTTTCCAGGGCTGAGTGGGTGAATTTCCTTCTTGATGTAATTTATTAATCAAGCTTGGCACAAAAGCAGACAGTAAAATAAATCACAGAATCCAAAGAACAAGGCCCATTAAAATGAATTCCAATTGGTGGGTGAGGAGGGGCCTCTGTTCCAGTCAGTCAGTCACTCAAGGACCTCAGCTAAAAAGATTCTGTGGCTTTCCAGGATACTCTGGCCATTGGTTCATTGCTGGCCAACAGGTGGAGAAGGAGAAAGGAGGGTGTGATGTGCTAGGATTTTAAGGACCAAACCTTGAAGTGGAGCATATCACTTGTGTCCATTTTCACTGGCCAGAACTCAGTCATGTAGCCACACCTAACCTCAAAGGAGGCTGGGAAATGTAGTCTAACTCTGGGTCCAGAGAAAAGGGAAATGGGCATGGTTAGCTGCTAGCTGCTCTCTGCTAAAACTACCTTGTTGGTTCAGTCCACCACTACAAACTCAGGCATTCTCTCAATTCCAACTTTCCTAAATATCACCTTTTGAAAAGCGAAAGGACTCAAGTGGGAGAATAACTTGGTGTTTCAAATCTTGTGATAGTCCTGGGCCCA